AAAAAAAAAAAAAACAAAGAGAAAGAGAGAGAGAGAGAGAGAGAGAGAGAGAGAGAGAGAGAGTCCGATCTCAATGCATAGTTTGTGCCTTTTGGTGCCTGTGTCTGGCAATGCGCGGCAATTGAGTTTTTACGCAGTTCGACAAGGCTAAACAAAGTGGAGAAGGAGTAGGAGGCGGAGCTGGAGGATGTGGAGCCCAATGTCAATGTGTTGGCTTGCCTTTGGCTTAGCTGCGGGCTGTCAAGAGCTCCATTTTCGTTTCTATTTTTTTGTTGGGATTTTTCAGGGTATTTTTTGTTTTTTTTTTCTGTGTGTGGGAGACAAATCTGCTTTGTTTTTATCTGATGCCGTTTCGTATTTAGCTGCAGCTTCTTATCCTGGTGGGAATGCGTACATTTGTGTGGCAGGATTAGAATGTGGCGAGTGGCAGGATGTGGTTGAGGGATGAGCAGGGAGCAAGGGCGAGCCGGATTGCTGCTATGATATTGTAACTTTAACGCCGTCAAATAAAAGCGCACGTCATTAATCTGAAGCAATTTCTGAGCCAATTTCTCTTGAAATTTTATAATTATTACGACTGTGAGCGAGATGGAGAAAGGAGAGAGAGAGGGGGGGCGGGGGGCGGTAGCAGCCCACAGAAGTGCCATAAAAGCCGCCAAGCGCCAATAATCTTAATTGAGCGACATTTCAAAAGCAATTAGAGCCGAGCGCCAAAAACTCAGCCAATAAAACGCAAACGAAAATGAAAATGAAATGAAATGAAAAAGTAAAATGTGAAACATTTAATGACCGAGACTCGGGTCAGAGCATTTTAATTGCCAATGGCCAACAACTTTTTAGATTCCTTCTGAGCTGCGCGCTTCTGTTTCTTTTTGCGAGAATTCCTGTAAATATGAAGAAATATAAAGACATATGTATCTATGTATCTATGAATCTGTGTATGTATGTATCTATGTATCTATTTATCTATGCATGTATCTATGTATCTATGTTTCAATGCATCTATCTATAGAAACTTACTTGATGCGCATGCATAACTTCCAGTCCTCAGAGAACTTGCCAAAGAGCGACTGTAGAAAGATGCGTAAGAGTATGAGCTCCACATTCAGATTGTATCGCACGTGCAAATGGCAACGGAGGGGCACCAGCGGACGCACACGACCCATCATACGTAGGGTCTTCTCATTCAGCAGTTCACCGAAGTCATGGGTGTCAATTTTGCTCATCTTGATCTGCTCGCTCCGTTCGATGCAGAGCCCGAAGTGATGCTGTGTCGAGACTTTGAACTCCTCCAAGATGTTCATCTCGTTGACCATCTTGTCCAGCATTTTGTTCAGCTGACAGCGCATATTCTCCACCAGGAGCAGCTCTTTGCGTGCTCTATGCAAATGCTGCACACGACTCTGCAGCTGGCAGCGCAACAGGCAATTGCTGCGACGCAGCTGCTGCAATTGGATTTGCTTCTGGGTGAGGAAGTCAGCTGGCTCGCCGGGCGGAGTGCCGTCGTCTTCCTGCTCGCACGGATCGGCCGGTGTGTATATCAGCTTGGCTCGCATTTCCTTCAGACGCTGCTTAATCGCCTCCAGTTGCTGGTAGGGCAGATCCAGATCAGGCTCCTCTGTCGAAACAGTTTCATCAACAATTCCGCTGGAGCTCAGTATTTCGCTCTCCTCTGGACTGATCACGCCCGCCGCCTGGCACGCGTCGCCCTTATACCAATAGCTAACAATTTTATTCATATTTAACAAAGTGTAACTAAAACTGTGTGTATTCAATTTAACTGTAAAACTGTGTGCTTGACGACAACTGGCCGGATCGTAAAAGCAAAGCCTGCCCCGGCCTTGCTCTCGACTCCTATTTAATTGAGTTAAACAAATCTGTTGGCGCTCGTTTCACTTTCAATTAAATAAACAACTTTTCAGCACCGCCAACCAGCTCTGCCTAAGACCCAACCCCCCGCTCTTACCAATGTTTTAACCCCTAATTTATTAATGACTGTCGGCATTCGTCAGCAGAAGAAAGAACAACTCCAAAAGTTCATATTTCAAAAATGGGTTTCTAACAAGCGGAAGCCGAGACAACAGCTGGGCGGACAGACTAGTGGATACCCTGTAATAAGCTAAAGAACATTTAGATAGATAAACAGGCAGCCAGATGATTTAGCATATTTAGTGCTCTCTGCTATCTGGAACTATTATACTGTTATAACTATAAAATGTACTGGAATGGTAAACTAATTTTATGAACCCGTCCTTTGGAATGAAACTGATTTACTTTAATATGACACGCTATAGCCCTTTTGATATATATTTACTTCTGATATCTACCGCTTCACAGCTAATTGAACCCCCCTAGCCAAGCATCCGACAGGGTATGAAAAGGCAAAGTTATCAGTCAAGGGGGTTGAAAGGGTTGGCAGCCGCCGACGCGCTATTGGGCACCATTTGATTAATGACACAAACAGCTTAAAGGGACAGTCTGGCAAGGGAGGCGCCTTGGAGCGAGTAGGCGGGGCAGAAAGGGGGGTGCAACAGCCATAGACTTTAAGTGCAAGCTGTTTGCCTGGAAAATATTTGCACAGAAAGTTTCACTTTTCGTCGAGTCTTGTCACGTGCAGCCGGGCCAAAACAGAAACTAGCGCAGCAACGACCCCCTCTAAACCATATCCATATCCATATCCATGTCAATAGCATTGGGGTGGACCCCAAAAAATTCTGCATACCGTTGCGCATTGTGACATGGCAGATGAATTTGTTGAAACATGTGTTCCTCCAGCTGTGTCGGCATGCGGCACTGCAGTTCCTCCAGCCAAGCCGCTTCGTCTGCCTAATCCTCCCGTTTGCCGTTTGCCGTTTGCCCTGAGTTTCAGTTGGCTCCACGTGGAACTGATACAGATAAATTAAATTTTTTTGCTATTGTGGAGCTGTGTATTGGAACATTATTTTTTTGGGATGCCAGCACGCATTTTGATTCCGGTTCGTGTATTAGTTTCTGTTTATTGATGATTGTGTGTGTTCATGTGGATGGGGGCTCCTGTGAGGGTTGTCGAAACTTGAATTGGCATTATAAACACGTAGCCCGAAATGGTAGACAGAGCGTTTGTCCATATTACTTTAATAACAACGTACAAAATAGGTTTATTTGGGTTTATTTGTGGTTTTAACGTGTGCTGTGATAAGAGCAGTGGTTAAATTTTCTTAGACGGTTTAAGTTCAACTAGAGAGGTCAAAGACTGCTTGACTACGGAATCTTTGCTTATTTCCCGCATCCATACAACAAAATTTAAAGTCTGTGGCTCCTATATCTTGATGATGTACATGAAAAAATAACTCAAATTTTCATCAGATTCGAACTACGTCTATTCCATGCACAAGCGCCATAAAATGTTGAGTCTCAATCGCAGACTACGCTAATATGCAATCAGGAATATTGCTTACATAAATCACAGCACACACTCTCACAACAATTTGTTTATATGGATCTACGCATACATACATATATAAATATCCATTCTATATACATGTTTCCGATACGCGGCATAAATCTGAATATTTTACAGAGGCGCCTTTAAGCCCCGGCCAAACGTGACTCAATTATATGGCCAACAGGCAACGGTTTGTGCCACCCACCCACTCATCACTCCCCACACTCTATCACACATGTGTGAGTGTCTCAGATTTTTAAAGGAATTTCCCTTGAATACACTTGCAATGGGAATTTGAGCTGTAGCATAAAGTAAAAAATCATTTGCTCCGATGAAAACAAAAAGAAAGAGAGAGATAAAAAGTCCTCGCATTTTATGCAAATTATGGACATTTTTGTTCATTATTTACTATTTGCACTTTTGATCCCGTTATATGTGTGAATTACTAGCAATAGGGAGCAGGCATTGTGCTTGCTCATGCTCTGGCAGGGAGAAGTCAAGTAAATGAAAGTCATTGGCTGAAAAAACTTTTGATCCCGTTATCTGAGTTGAGTGTGCAGCTGAGAGCGATTTGAATTAAGCTTTTTTAGTACGTGCGCGTCTTTTGTTTTGATCAGTGCGTTGTCGGATGTGCGTTGCGGGTGTAGAAAATAGTTTGAAATTGGAGTGAGTTAAAATACAAAGATTTTAAAGCGTTTAGCATGAATTGTGTGTGAATTTGTGGATTGTCTTAGCATCTAGATTGAAGAAATCAATAAAACTAAGTGAAATCGGTTTCATTTAATGTGTTATTTGTGCTTTTTCGAACTTATTTAATAGTACTGTTTTAATGACAGACAAAGAGAGAGAAGGAGAGAGAAAGGAAGGAAGATAGCGGGATATAATTTGCCTTTAGTGGGTAAGTCTGCATTTAAATACAGTTAGTATTGTATATCGCTTTAAATATACCCATTATTGGTATTTTAGTTATGTTATTCTGCAAAATATTTAATTGTTAATCATTTATATTTTAATTAATGTTTAATAATTCTTTTGGTTTATCTATTTAACTATAAATAAAACCAATTTACAATGTATACGTGTGTTAGGGCATTTGTTGTTCGATGTGAAGAAAATAGTTTTCTCTATTTCGTCTTTGTCTTCCAGCCATTGTGAAAAACAATGCATAATTCTGCCGTACGGCAAACCAAAAAATTTATGTGCAAAACAATAAAATTAAATTGTTTTCGCATTCGACATTCACTCTGCTTGCTACAGTTTACATTCCACATTCCACATGCCATACGGAACATGCTGCAAAATAATGAACTCATCTAGACGAGAATAATAAATTTTTGAGCAATGTGGCAGTCAAAAGCGGAAACGCTGCACCATTTTATAGCCCACCCACCCCCCTGGCCCACTTGAGTCTGGGCAAAAAAGAGCTGAAGCTCAGGTCGTAAACCACAAGTGCGCGCATTGCCAGCGACTTTGTCACATTTCAACTTCCTGCCAGGACCTGCCGAGGACCTGGCCGCCCCTCGCCATTGCTGGAGTGTTTAACTCATGAACGCCCACTTTGATTTCCATTTGAATTGGGCGCACAGACGTCAGCCACTTGTAATGTCGCCCATATGTGGCGCGATTTATGGGGCCCTGTAGCCGGGAGCCAGCCGCGCCTGCCCTCATCAAGCATAGCAAGGCAGTGTCAAGTTTGGGGCACGTTTTCAACTTTAACACAGTAGTTGATATGAGAGGAAAAAAAATATAAAGAATGGAAATAATAACAAAGTGGGGAGCAAAGAGCTTTAATGCAAGCTTTCGTTGGGAAATACTAACATAATGAATACAATTGCTGGGCTGAACAGCTCTTTACAGAAGTAAATTTAACAGCGAAACATTTAACAGTGTGCATAAGCTGTGCATAATTAATTTCAGCTTAGCTGGGAAATTTAAACACAATGAGAGAGAGAGATAGTGTGTGATTGCAGTGGCAGAGTTTAACAGCAGTGTTCATAACAGCAGCTGATCATCAGCAGTTTGTTTAACAGCAGCTTAGAGAAAGGTAATTTTAAACATGCCTACGTTGCTAGGCATTAAACGTAACCAAGCTGACTTGAAAAAGTCATCAGACTTAAAAAAGCATATTAATAATATGGAAAATACATAATAATAATAATAAAAAAAAAAAAAAAAAACAGACCTAAGAATTTAGCTTACACGATACATGCGGTAATTATAGAAATACAAAAGCTTATCAGCTTAGCCTGAAAATTTTCATATTCTAGTGAGCATAACTGACCTTCGTTAACCAATGCCCTTTTCACACACGCTAACACCCAACCAGCGAAGAGTGGCCAATGGGATAGTCGCCTCCATCTGTCGTGGCAGCTATGGCCAAGCGCTGCAGTCGCTGGATGCTTCCACTGGCATTTTGCCCAGCGAGGAGGAGCAGTCGATGCGTCAGGTGCTTGAACGCTTGCAGGGCATGGCCAAACTGGAGTCGCTGGTCGCTTGTGAGGCGCTGATCAATGAGCTGCAGCTGCCCCAGTTGGATGTCAGTGTGATTGACAAAATGAACACGCATATACCGCCAACAGTGCTGTCCGATATTTATGAGCAGATGCAGCTGCTTACTTTCTACGACTTCTACCAGCAGTTGGAGCACGTACAGTGGGTGGAGCACACGATCATATGGCACACGTTGATACTCTATGAACACTGTACCAAATTGAAGGCAGCACAACAGGCGCTCGACCAAATGCAGCAGATGCCGGCTTCGAAAATTGAGCTGTATATCCTGTACGGTTTGCTGCTGCCCATAAGCATTTATTTGGCAACGTTTCTGTTCTAATAAAAGTGTTTGCTTCTTCCCATAGTTGGCCGAAAACACTTTCACTTCGCCTCGCTCCCTATGCCGGAGCCATGCAGACGTTTCAATTAAATGCGCGCAACGTTTGGCAATTTGCACGCACACATGTGCCATGCCATGCCGTGCCTCTCCCACCTCTTTACCAACTGTCCGGAGTTGGCATTTTGAAAAATAGATTTCTAAAACGTTTAAGCTTCTGCATGTGTCTTGAATTTTAAAACCTTGTGCTTCATATTAAAATTGCGGCAAGGTAGAATGCAACCTAGACGTTGCCCCAGCCCCTCCCCCTCCACCTCATATAGCCGACCGCCCAGCCATTCCCCTTAGCATGGTAACCACCCCCATTGTAGCATATGCCTGCGCCGCCAAATAGCAGGAACGTGACCAAAGTTTTTGTGACTCTTCTTTGTGCGCATTGTTGGCAGGCGATCATTTATCTTAAATGCCAAGTCCAGGAGTTGGGGCAGGAGGCCAGCTCCATTTCTTTGTATGCTGCCAGCTAACGTCTTCTTTTGGCCACCTTCATATATATGTATAAATATATATTTTTTGGGCTGGTCATAAGCTAGGCAACCAACTGGCAGTTGCCAAGGTGCTCGCGCGGGCTGCTTAATAAGCGGATGCTCCAGCGGAAGTGGACGCTATTGCTGAAAATTCATGAACCTAAGCGGATTTGAAACGCAGGACAACGCCTGACTGAGTTATTAGTTCGGCCAAGCTGCGAGCTGTAGAGAAAGCGTGACCAAGGAGCTTAGTAGGGTAAGAATGATTTAGGGCAGCGACAAGTTTTAAAATTACAAAGAGAGAAAGTTCTCAAGAGGAACTAATGAGCGTTTGTTTTTGAAGCCAAGTTAATCTTGAGGTAACTGAGCCAAGAATGCATATCTCTACGAATAACAACGAATGTAATAAGTGAAAAGGTTTTCTAGAGGAACTGGTAAAGGTATGGTATTTATTCGACAATTGAACAAGTAAATAATTGTTGAATTGAGAGTGAAAAAAGGTTTAAAAATACATAACAAAGCCAAAGGGGCTGATAAGCTATATACCTATACGGACCTTGATAGGGTAGTGAAGGCTTATTATATATTGTTAGACCGAAACTTCATAGTAAAGCTACTTAAATGAATCAAATTTCGATTTGCTTAAAGCAGTGTTTGCCCAATTCACTTGTTACCCAATTGAGCAACCTAAACAAAATGTATCTATGACTAAACGTTTATCGTTTATCTATAAAAATAGATGGCACTCGACCATTTGGAGCACAAAATAAAACGAAAAGTGGAAATCTTTGGCAAAGAGCAGAGTTTTGGCTATAAACACAGCTGCTTATAAAAGTTTTTCGAAAAACAATTACAGAGCAAACAGAAGAGACCCAAACGCAGTTGAAAACCTCGCCCGCCTGCTCATAACTTTTAAATTTTGTTGTTTGCTCAGAGACTTTGTCTACTCCGGCGAGTGTGCGAGTGTGCATGTGTGTGTGTGTGTATGCTACTTCACCTTCTATTGTTGTTGGCCTGCGTTGTCGTATTAAAATTGCAAAAATTTTAATCTTTTTGAAAAGTATTTTACATATTCTATAGATTCTTCTAGTAGTCGTAGCAGGGGGTAATGTCCCTATTGGGTTTTTGCTTCTGCAGACTCTAGCTGAGAATTTATGTATGTATGCAGGCAGCACAATTTCCCATGCTTGCCAAGCAATAAAAGGCATATCCTGTATAACGGTGATATCCTTACCAAGGCTCCCCAGCCCCCATTCTCGTTCTCTTAACAACTTGAGCATTGGCTGTTGCCTTTGGCAAAGAGCTGGTAAAAGTTTTTGTCCTTGCCAACGACGTAAAATTTTTATAGACACGTAGGTGAGTTTGTTGGTGTGTAAGCGTGTGTATATGTATTATTGTAGGTGTGTGTGTGTGTGTGTGTGTGTGTGTGTGTGTGTGCTTAAATCCCAGTTTACTACTTTAGGTGTTTACCACACAAAGGCCAAAGCCGCCGCCGCTTCACGCTGCAATCGTCGAATTATGCAGAAATCATGGCGCTGGATGTCGGAAGGGAGGTGCTGGGTGGGCGGGAAGCTGCGACGAAGACAGCAGCTGAGATTGTTTCTGGCATGGCTTGGCCGGGCTTTGGCTTGATGAAAGATTTTTATCATGCAAATAGTTGAATAGACCTCGCCACTGCCGCTGCCACTTTTATGGTAGCTACTAAATTGGATTTATATCGGCATCTGCTTTATATATCCAGCCAGCTGCCAACTGTGCTTTAAGCCGGGCCAAAAGAGAAAACTTTGCACATTTATCAACGCGCCTCGGAATATGTTTTAATCATATTTATCACACGCACACACAAAGTCTTCAGCTTCTTCTGCTACTTTTGGCATGCCAGTCACACAGGGGGGCGGGCCATTTAACGTGACCATGCCCACTTAACTTATTGACATTCGACTTGGCCACCAGCAAAAATGGTTTTTGTATATTTAACGAACCAGCAAAATCTTCTGCTTCAATACAAAAGGAAATGCGAGTAGATGTATTTCCATTCTCTTTTTTTTGGCCAGAGGGCGCGTTGTCCTTTTTGCGTTTGGCTTTGGCTATTGTTGTTTCCTGCTGCTGTAGCTTTGTCCTGCTTGTATGCTATAATCCCAGCGCGTGCTGCGCATCGCCTCGCGGCGTTGTCCTGTGCGTAGTCCCGTGCGTTTGTTGCCTTTTGCCTTTATCTAATTTATTTCCATCTATTTATACCCTTCGAAAAGGGTATTTCTGTTGTGTGAGGAAACAAGTAAATACGATTGCGAGATTTAAAATATATTAATATATTAAAAATACTAAAACATGACTAAAAAATTTAAATATTTAGTAATTTACAAGAGTAAAAAATCAGTTAGATATTGCTTCTTGTGTATTTTTTTTTTTTAAATATTTTTCTTAATTTATTCTGATCAATCAATGAGTTTATGTACTGCAAGATTTTCAATTTCGCCTGGGCCGGTCTTCATTTTCAACCCTGACAAGTTTCTAGTTCTACTAATATATAAAATTATAGATTTTAAGGGCATCCAATCTTCGGATTGCTGTCAAAGTGCGTTGCTGCTTCATTCTTCTTTTTTTCGTTGGCTGCGGCTTATTTGCATTTGCTTGTTAATTTAAAGCATCTTCCATCATTTGTTGCTGCCCTCACATTGCTCCACTAACTGCCACCCCCTCCAACTCCAACTCCATCTCCAACTTCAACTTGCCCGTTTGTCGATACTTCGGATTGAGTTTTCCGTTGCTTGTTTGGCATTGATGATGGCATTATTATTATTATTATTATATGTTGACGCCTTCTCCATTTCTCTTTGTTGCTGTTGCCGCTGCGGCTGCCGCTGCCATTTTCTTATTTGGCATTACTTCCGCTTCCGTTGGCTGCCACCAGTCGCCATTATCATCATCAGCTACGCAGGTTCGCCGCTGCTTTGCATGTTGCCATTGTGGAGGCAGGAAAGTTTTGTCGTTTTTTCAACATTTTCATTCTTTGCCTTTTCTTTTGACATTTTCATTAAAAATTGTGCGTAAAGTGAATGTCACGAAATTTATGTTCGTCTCCATTGAATTTTAATGATTTGTAATGTAATAGGATTTTGAATTCATTAATTATGGCTTCGGCCTCATTGGACTAACGAAAATTGGGCGTGTATGGGTGTTGAATTTCATAGATAAATGATTTATGGCATAAACGTGCTTCCAAAAAACCTTTTGCCCAAAAAATTATACATTTTATTAGTGAAAATTAAATCTGGCTGGGCGAATGATAAAATGGGGGGAAAGAAATTTTGAGCTGAATGTAATGGAAATATAATGGGATAATTAATAAAATTTATAAATAAATAATAATATACATATAAATTTTTGCTAATTTTCTATAAATATATATATTAGTAAATAATCATACAAATATTTAAATTATATTATTATTTATTAAAAATGGTTGGAATATAATAAATAAATAATTATAATTGTTTAATATAAATGATTTCTTTTGATAGTTGTTTTTCACAATATTTTCTCTTTTTTTATTTATTTATTTATTTTTTTTTATTCTAAAATCAAGATTTAAATTTCAAACGAGTTTATTTATATTTAAAATCATTTAATAATAAATTAAATAAATAGCCGAATGTAATTAGTTGGCTGTCCTCTTTAATTAGTTGATTTTTTGGTCACTTCTGGGATGTTTATACTGAGTATTAAAAAAAAAAAATTGTAAATGGTTATATATGCGCAATTAAGGGCTTACAATAAATACGTGCAATTAATGTGGAAATTATTTATTCAGTTGTAAAATGTTTGTGGTTCATTACTTGGTCGCAATGCATTTTAAATGAATTCGCGACAAACGCACCAAATGTTGTTTTACGGCTAATTGAAATTCAAACGTGCATAGCAAAAAAGGGTAAAAAAAAAAAATAATATAAAATATTGTCAGGTGCACTTTAAACCTTAAAGTTGTCTGACCGCAGAAGCACGTGTTAATCAAGCAGGCGGAGGGTGTGCAGGGTGTGGGCTGGGTGTTCTGGCAGTTGGTAACTTCAGTTGTGATTGTGCGTCCGCAAATGCGGCCATGAGCAGTCGCACATAATCCTTAATGCAAACATGCAGCATGGAGGCTACAGCTGATGTCAGGATATGCACAGGCCACACAGGTAGTGCAGGTAGCACAGGTAACGCAGTTCTGGCCATTTGACCGCTGTCCGGCTCTGAATTTATGCACTAGCCAAACACACCCACACGGACTAGACATAGCGCCAAGGCAAACTGCGCGTTTCGGTTTTGGTTTAGGCAAATGGAATATTTAATTAAAACAAGCGCAAATGGAATGCTGCATTAGAGCTGACACCGTGACACGACATATGCCAAATGTTGAATAGGTGAAAAATATATTTGTTTATTTTGATTGATTTGTTTGTTATTTTTAAGTGAGGTATTTATTATGAAAAACTTGCCAGAAAATATATTTCAGTTTTAATT